TCCATGTGACTCTGAGCTTGTCTTGGCACCACCTGCAGCGGAAACTGCCCTCCCAATGCCCCAGGATGAATCCACAGAGGCCACAATGTCATCGGAGGCTCTCCCTCTCATCTTTGAGCCTTTTGAAGACATCACATCTGAGAGTGCGACGGCGGCAGCAGCAGCGGTCACCCACGTGTCAGGCAGCAGCCGGCCCAGAGGGCTTCCTCGGTCAGAGGCAGGTCTGGACCAGCTGGTCACCGTAGAGAGTGACAGAGACGGTCCATCACATGCCTCACCCGTCCTTATTCCAGACTGGACGTCACCTTGGCAGACATCTGGCAGCGAGCTCCTAGAGCCATTCAGTTCCTCGGGTCCATCTGCTTCTCAGCAGCAAGTCAGAACTGAGCCGGACGACCATTCGGAGAAAGGTGAGACAGATGATGTGGCATGACCCGAATGTGGATATTAGATCATATGGAATCATGATATAAAATCATACATATAGTCTGTGTGTAATGTGTAAATGTGCCATATAAATAAAATCAACATTGCCATTCAGGTTTTTTTTCAAGATTTAGTCAATTTCCTACAAATGAAAAGTATTTCACGGTGGTGCCAAAGTAGAACTATAATAGGGATCAGAAATTTTAACCGTTCAACAACACTGAACATTTTCTCTGTGTGAAGTCGCCTCGGTGGGTGGAGGTGAAGTTTTTTGGCCTTTATTGGTAGGTTTCACGTTTACATTTACCTTTTCTAAGTTTGCTTCTTGCCAGACTCCGTCTGACACTGACAAAGTGGTTGAATCTTTCATCACTACCACTTCATTGTGGCATGAATTGACCCAACAGCTGCAGAGACAGCAGTATTGTATACTGTGCATGGCTTTTGAAGTTGCGCACTTGCAAACACGTACAGCTGTGCTCACACTGCTCCTGCTGTCCTCTTATTCTGCTTTTCATTTAGCAAACGTAGTCTCTGCGAGGACACTAAATCTGGAAGACAACGTGTCCTCGGCCGGCCCCTCCCTCTCATCTTTCCAGCAAGCAATGACAATGGTAACCATGACAACCCATCAGCCAGCACACAAATCCACATCAGAGGAGATGGACTCTGAGGGTAGGACAATTTTTTAAATGCCACCTACAAGCCACTCCATTTGCAAAAATGTTCATGTTCAGTCATAACACGTGTCCCTCTGTACATCCTCCAACGCTCCTGGATGATTTTTCATTATTCTCCACAGAGGACCTGGAAGATGACTTTGAGAACTCTGAGGAATCGGTGGAAGAAGACAGTGAAGAAGACCAAACAGAAACATCTAAAACATCCTCGACGCAGCCTCCATACAGTCTCATCCCACCACCTCCCGTCTGGGTTCAACGCAACCAGGGGCTGAGTATGAGAACACAATTTCTAACCCATATTTTTAAATCAGCAGTGGGACATAACTTTTAGTATTAGCACTTCTGCAAACATGTGTTGCCCTCTTATAAAAGACCTACAAAAATAAAGAAATTTTCAGCTTATCAATTTTCAGATCTGTTGCTCTGATAAACGAATGTCTCTTTTCTCCCAGTGCGTAGCTGGGTGGAGCTAATCAGAGAAAAGGTAAGCCTACCCTCTGCTGTCTGTAAAAAAGGTCAATTTTTCTTTTACCTCGCCATGAGGCGACGGATGACTCACTGATATATCTTTTTCTTTTGAGCTGCCAGGGTTTTCTTTAAGGTGCATAGTGTAAATATTTGTTACATGTTCATAGTTTTCAGTGGGTTGCACAGTTAAAATAGTTTGATGACGATCAAAATATAGATTCGTGCCAGGTATACTTAATAAAGAATGCTTAGGTCATTTTTCATAATCAACTACAGTATGTTGGCTAATCTGTATAGGGTTGGGGGTGGATAAGCGGGAGGTGGCGGCTGGGGAGAGGGAGGTCTGGCCTTCTCTGCTGAGAATGCTGCACCCATGACCCAGCCCCAGATAAGTGGAAGATGGTGAAAGATGATGGATGGATAGGTTAGGGTTTGACCTCTATGCCATCACCCTCTACAGGCGGGTTATGTGTCCGGGATGTTGGCCCCTGTGGGTATCGGTATCACAGGGGCCCTGCTAATTGTTGGCGCCCTCTACAGCATCAGGATGATTCACCGCAAGAGGAGGAACAGCTTTAAACACCAGAGGAGGAAGGTCAGACAGCAGGAGGTCAATAACTTACTTTCTTGTTTTCACTCGTTATTGTTGACCAGTCACATGGAGCAGGTCTCTGTGGATCTTAAATGCATAAGCTCAACCTTAAAATGATTTTTCCCTCTCCAGCAACCCCGGGAACCCGGCACCAGCCGTCAGGACCAAGCCATGCTGCTGGCCGACAGCTCTGAGGACGAATTCTGATGAGAACCTTTTGGGCCTCTTTTGTTGGTGACCAGCCGCCATTGCTCCTAAACTGGATGTTTAGCAAACACCCCCATCGCTACTGCATCTCCACTTACCCTGGGGCTGTTTGGGTATGACTCCTCTGATCCACTGAAAGGGACTGAGCATAGGGCAGTATTTGCATAGGTGGCGCACAGGTCAACCAGGCACCCACCTCCCTTTCTGAAATTATCTGAGCACTTGTCTAAATGTTGTCAGATGCTGCTGAGTCTAAGAGTGTGGTAGGATTGGTGTTTTCCACCTTTTTTGACAACAAAAATAACTAAATAAATAAAAATAATAATGCATTGAGGGAGCGGTATTCGTAGGATGGAAGTGTTGCTGGCAAATTAAAAGGGGGGATGTGAAAGCCAGCATGTTTTCCGTCAAGTTATACATTGAATGAAAAGTGACGTGACACAAATAATGTAAATACATTACATGTAGTACATGTAGCTGACTGGGGGTCAGTTGTGTTAGTGTAAATAAAGTCTCATGTATTCCTAGACTTCAATAATTTTGGGAAAACTGCTAATTTACAGGAAGCTGGATTAGATCACTGGAAGCATATCTGTCTGTAAACTGAAACTAACAGCTAGCCTAGCTTGGTCCAACGATAACAAACATGTTGGCTAACATTTCCAGAACGCACTACGAAATCAATCTTTAAAAAAAACAACAGAAGAAATTTAAAGTATTAGTGTCCTCTTAATTATTTTCTAACCATCAGACAGAGTTAGGCAAGCTTCAGGCAAAGGTAAGCTAAAAGCTACTGAGCTAAAAAAAAGAGCTACAGGACTGTGCAAAAGTCTTGATACGCCCTGCATTTCTTACTATTTTGCAATGAATTTGGGAAACAGGTAGTGTTTTATTTAAAGCTGCAAACAGCTTGAACTCTCTTAAGCAGCTTTCTTGTTATTTAAGTTTTCAGGAACAGTTCTCCAGGCTTCTTGAAGGACATTCAACGCTCTTCTTTGGATGTTGGCTGCCTTTTGTTCTGTTCAAAAACGCTGCTTCAATAATGTTGACGTCCAGGCTGTGAGAAGCCCAATCCACAACTGATAGTATTACTCTGTCAGGTATGCTTTTACTGCATTGCTAAAAAAAAATAATAATTAAGCTGTGGCTCTGACAGTACTTTGGCATTCCATCAATTTTGACAAGATCCCCAAAACTACTGGCTGAAACGCTGCCTCAAACCATGACAGAACGCGGTTAAGTGATTGTTGGACACTTATTTTTGCATCTTTCTTCTGACCTCCATGGTATTTATTGATAATTAACCAAAATCTGAAGATTTTCATTCATCACTCCGTAAGACCTCTTGCCAATGATTTTCAGTCCAGCTCTTGCATACCTCGGTCTTTTCTCCATTTCCCCCCTTCCTTAAAAATAGCTTCTCGATAGCTACAGAGAGCACTAAGATCATTTCTGATGAGGCTTCAGTGAAGACGGATCAACTGAAGGGCCAGGTCTTTGCTGGATTTTTCCAATTTCTTAAGGACAGGACTTTCAAATACTGTTCATCTGCTGTAGTTTTACGTCTGCCACTTCTTTTTTCCTCAAATATTTTAAGGCCACACTGAACACCATGCCAAGACATGCCAGTATTTTTTGCTAATAGCTCTTTAGGAGTCACCTTGTTGGTCTAAAAATACGGTTTCATATCTGTCAAACTGGAAATGGAAACAAATCAAGTGACAGGCTGCTATTAACAAACTGCCTAAAGGTACAATTTAAATTGGTTCTTCACCAAGTTGTCTATTACACTGGTTAATCTCTTGAGTTAGGTGCCTTTTTTATTCTTGAATGATTCATAGGTCAGTATTACAAAATGAACATTCCTCTGAAAATGGTCAGGTAGAAGGACTGGACTGAAATTAAGTGGAAAAAGCAGCCAATTTCATGCCAAAGAAAAGCCTGGAGAACTTTTGAAGTTACACCTCTAAAAAAATAAAGTCTGTCTGTATTTATTTCCAAGCAGCCAGACAAAGAAATGAAGCGCAGCTCAAGAGCTTTGCAAAGTACTAGAAGTCTCTACCATCTATATTATCTTCACACACACTTGACAGACATCATAGTAGTATTAAACTCTTTTCCAACTCTTAACCTCCTAGGACCTGGCATCCACATATGTGGACATCACATTTTTGGTTATTTAGACCCAAATACTCAATTTTGCTCTACAAGGGCCTGATATCCACTTACGAGGACATTATACTGCTACTCTTGTCGAAATTTTAAACGAATATCCTCATTTGTGGCCCTCATTTTTCTTAGAAACAAAAATCAGGTAACCCCCCCCCCAAAAAAAATCTGGTATTTCTTTGTTTTTACATTCATCGGGCCCCGATATGCCCAAATATCAAAGAGGAATTAAAGATGCATGCTGTGTAAGAGTTTGGGTCTTAGAAGGTTAAGGAAGTAAATAAGCATTTTCTCCCAAAATGTCAAACTATTCCCGATAGAACCTGTCACATTTGCTTGTTTTAAAGTGTGAAATTTGTGCAAATGCAAACGTTTTATTGAAAGCCATCTGTTCATATTAGTTACTGTGAGAAACACGTGCAAAATACCACCATCCTATAAAAGTATGTAGCATAATGCGATATGAACTCACTGCCACTTACAACTCCATTTTTATCCCTAAGTGCATGACTGAGCTTCAGTCGATACATACGCCGACTTGCTGCAGAGATTTCCCATAAATTAAGTGTTCCTATTGGCTGGAAGAGCACAAACACGAGACAAGAAAGCAGATTCATATTTCCGTGTGTGCTGATCTGCTGCTGACAACGTGAAGGGTTTTGTCGGACGCTCTCGAACCAGAACTTTACCTTGCTTGGATAAAATGAGCAGAAGTCAGGTTAAGTTTAAAATCTCGTTTTTGAAAGATAAATTCAAGAAACTTCTCTGCTGCAGTCCAGACAGAAAAGAGGCACAAAGCAGTTCTAGGTATTTGATGCACATTTGTTATCCCAATGTTAATAAAGTGTCTTTTGTTTGGGAAAAAAAAAAAACATTTTCTGTAACTTCATGAACCATCTGACATGCTTAATGAACAAATGCCTGTTTATACAATATAATACTGTTTTAGGGTATGTGTGATGTAAAATGGTAGACTCTTTTCCCCCCTCTTGATGTGGATGTGATCAAATAAACAGCTCTTTTTGATGTCTGATTGTGACTTCTTTTTTTTGACACACAGATACAGCCGCTTCAGACAGCAGACAAGACAACCCAGTTTTACAGCATTAAAAAAAAGAAAAGAAAAAAAATCTAATAATTTATTTCTGTGTTCTTTTTCCACATTAAATAAAAGCTATTGGACATTTCCGGATCAAAAATAAATCAAGAGGGGACAGGAAGAGGAACAGAGAAAAACAGACATGCAAAGAAAAGAAAAACAAAACTTTTGCTCTCCTCTTTTCACACTTCGTAGATGGTAGAAAGGCTGCAGAAAGCCCCTGTGGACCAGCTGCTCGCTTGTGTGGTTTTGTGTCACACATCGACTGCCAAAACAAATGCTAATAATAATTATCTGATCAATGAACTGAGAATCAACTGAGAAATTAAGGGTTATAAATTTAGGATTTCAGTCACCCGAGGTCATGACAGCACAGTGGATGATCAGGATGAGGGGAGGGGGAAAAAAAACCAACTGTTTCTGATGTCATTTCAGGGCAAAACTGAGTCTCTGAGAGAAAACTGGGTAATGGATGCAACGCCACAAGGCACAGCTCCAAACTGATTATTGATGACGAAGCCCTTCGGTCTGTGAGCGTGATCTGAACACAGCCACTGTGGCAGGCTGTAATGCCCATATATACCCTAATGGAACCGCGACAGTTTGGCATGACTGAGGCAAAGAGACCCAGTTCCTTCAAAACTGAAAACACCTCTGTTTGAATGAGGAAGATGGGTGGGACCTCCAGAATAAACCACAAGTAGTTTGATAAAAATCTAAACAGTGTCTGATGAGCAGCAAAGGTAATAGTTGGCGTTCGGGGGATCTATAGATTGTTTTTGTACTTTCACATCATCTCTGAATGGGGTTAAAGTAGCACAGAAATTAAAAAAAAAAATCAAATCTGATAAATCAACACAATTCGCCCCAAACCCAACAGATGACCAAAAAAACAAAAAACATGCTTTCAATATATTCAACGTAAAGAACACTCGTATACAAATCTGAAAAAACAAAAGTTGTCCATTGTTCCAAATGCATACAGACACAAACTTACATAGACAGACCATTATGTGGGTGGCGACTCTGTAAACATCTACTCTCCCTTCCAGTCCTCGACTCCTGGGGGTGTACCAGCTCAGCTCAGTGGTTGAAAAAGGGGGAATAAACCCTAATACATTAAAACTCCCTGTGAATGTTTGCTGAAAGCATGTGTCTGTTCTGGTGCAGCAGATTTAAAAAGAAAGAAAGAATTGAAATAGTGCCACATGGCAGCCCGCTGTGGTGCTTTCTACTTTCAATATTGTGGAGAAAAAGCACACAGATGCCCAATTGCATAATTTGTTCTTGCATTTGCAACCTGTGAAAAAAAAGAGGTTTTTTCGCCCATCAACAACCACTGCAATCCGTCTTTCTGCCTTCACTACAACACCAAGCACTAACCCTACTCCTGAAAAATAAGGGTCCACTTTTTTTTTGTTCCTTCCTGTATCTAACAAGGAGTTCTTGTTGTCCTTATAAGGCCAGAACAAAATGGCAGCACCTTTTAGAGGCTCGATTTTCCTGTACGGGGCAGGGACAGGGTGGGGTGGGGGACTCTGAAAGTAGAGATGTAAAGGTCTAACAGAACATGATCCATACCATTGTCAAAAACAGCAGGAGACACACATTCATACTCACGCATACACACTGCAGCAAATTTCCAAAGAAGTGCATCTGACCTTTGTTCAAGCGAGCTTTCTTTGCCGCTTTAGTGTGTTGTCGGACTGCCCGGGCGCATCCGTTCGCAGGAAAGGAGATCTTAGAATGTTATAGCGAGGTTGGCGGTGCGTCGGGTTAACGCGCCCGGGAAGTGCATTGTGGACTCGGCCGCTTGAGAGCGGCATGAGGTTATACAGGTGTCAAGTAGACAAATGGAAACAAAGTTAAAGTGAACAAAAGAATAAAATATAATCTGGTAAGAATACTTCTCAATTTTTCGCTTTTTTTTTTTTTTTTTTTAATTTAAATTGCACGCACACAGCACACTCATACAGGAATCCAGCATACGTAACACTTTGTCTCGGATCTCGCGCTTTGGTGGACCGGAAGCGGCTGCAGAGGTTTGCCCACTCAGCAGGCAGATCGCTGTGGCCGCGGCTGTCGGCGCTGATAGGTTTGAGTGGCACTCACGACGAGGAGATTCAGGCTAATATTGCAAATTAGTAGGAGAGGAGAGGTCGGACCACACCATCATTGGTGAGGAGTCTCTTTTAAACATGCTGTATTCTCCTTTTTGTTTTGAGAGGGGGGGATTTTCCAGTAGCTGGCAGTGCATTTGGGGAGAAAAAATAAGTTATGATCTGCAAAAAAAACAAGCAAACAGAAAAAAAACTCCTCACCCACGTCCTGTCTAGGTTTGACGATGAAGACACCGAAGCTTAAAACGGTCCACGAGTCGGGCAAAGTTTGAGGTGCTAATGGAGTGATTTGTTTCAATCAGCTGCTCTGCGCCAACATGCGTACACAAACACAGGATGGGCTTCTTGAAGAGGGAGTTGGGGATTGGCCTCAGTCTGAGTTAATCGACAAGCTCTTATTCCCGCACTCACATTGAAACAAAAAGCATGCATATCTTTACAGGCTTCAGTCCTGGGGGCTGAGGCAGGTGATGGAAGCAGCGGCAGCAGCAGCAGCAACGGGGGAGGGGGGTGCTGCACCTGCTGGACAGGATGGGGAGACAAAAACATACCAAGCACGCGCACTCATACAAACGTGTTCTTCACTCGCTCACAGTGAAACCAACGGCAAATGACAAAAACAAAAAACAAAAGCCACTTGCTTTCTGAAAAACACCAGGCGGTACAAACACACAAACTATAGCTTTTTCCGTCCCCCTGCCCAACATATAAGGTTAAAAAAGAGAAAACAAAACAAAAATGAACTCCACAAATATCTTCCCAGTCTGTGTTTACCGCTCCACTTCCTTGTTTCATGTGGTGATGATTTTTTTTTTTTTTAAGTTTTTTCCTTGTGTTTTTTAAAAGTCTGCTTTGTCCCAGGTTCTGCAGGATTTTGGTGTGGTGCCTTGTCCTTTTTGTTTTGTTATTTTTTTGTAGGGGGTGGAGTCTGGATGCACATCCTCACTTGAGCTGCCTCACACCTGGTCGAACAGGCGCCCCCGAGCTTCCAAGGTTGCAATGTCCCCCATTCAATGAGGTCACCCTCACTCGCCCCGCCCTCGTCACAGAAGGCAGCAGGAGACCCCCGTCGTGTAACACCTGGTGGGATTTCAGTCCATTTCTGCCTAAACGCTTGTTCAGAGGTCAAGGATAAAAGGAGGGTGTGTCTGCTTGTTTTATGCATACTTATGTGCATACTCCTTGGACACAGGTATATGTGTAAGTGTGTGTGTGTGTGTGTGTAGGTGTCTGTATGTGTGACTATAAGAGTGAAATGACCAGGGCAGAGCTGAGGCCGTCAAGCTGATAAGTGTTCGAGGTGAACAGCACCTGCTGTCCCGTCCTCCTCCCGTCCCTTCTGTTTTCTGCTAGCGGAGCCACAGTTTGAGCCGCAGCGCGTCCACTCCGTTCAGGTAGTATCTGAAGAGCCGCTTGTCTCTGACAAAACCCAAGTTTTCGTAGAGCTTCAGGGCTGATTTGTTGGTGATCTCAGTCTCCAAAACAACCTGGGAACACACAAATGAGTGCGTGAGTGAGCTGACTGAATTTTGGAGCCTGTACTCGTTATTTGGTCGTTCGTGATTGTTTGGACTTGAACTCTTTACCTGAAGAATATAAAAAAA